CGGGCCTGCTAGGTAGGTAAGGCTGCTATAACACTGCTATACCAATGTGGTAGTGATGCAGGCCAGTGCTAGTTTCCAGTGGGTCTTGATCACATTGATTAATGGATCGAGACTTGGAATGGTAATATCGCTGAACCACTGATGTTTCAGTGGGACACCGTGGGTTTTCCTCTCGAAGACTGAAACGTCTTGAGGGTCTTCGATGTGGTAGTGCAGGGAGCCGCTCAATAGAAACCTGGTAGGCTTTTCCGAACAATGAGCGTTGCATTGTTCGTGCACTACTGGGTGATCAAAACTGAGGACGATGTTGTTGGTTTCGTTGGATGGTCCACACTTGACCATGAATTGATGTGACTCGCAGGTCACGGTTATTGTTGCTTGGGTTTGGGCTTTGCAGACGGCTGTGAAATGTGCGCCAATGGCGCAGTCATAGCAGCCGAAGACTTCAGAGACATGGAATTCGCACTCTTGGCTTGTTACCAATTCAGCTGCATTATGCAGCATCCTGGACTCAATTCTTATAACCAGTTCCTCCTCGTTGGACGTAGCAACGATGTTGTTTGCCTCAGCAGTTATTTTTACATGAGGCGTTTGTAGAGGTAACTTGCTTTGTGGGTTGTCAGAAAGCTTCTGGAAAGAGTCGTTAGCGGTGAGTTTCCACAGTTGCGCTGTATGCGATTAGCACACGAAGCGAAGTCGTTCAGTGCCTGTGAGGGGGTGCCGCATGCGACGGGTAGTTGGTAATTGGGTGGAAGCACGTAGGCTCGATCACTGTTGTTGGATGCGACTGCGAACTGAGTATGTTCTAAGGAACCCGCCAGTTTTTGGATGGATGCGACCGTGATGTTGAAGTCGCGGAGGTGTTCCGAAACGTAGGGTTGGAATGCTTGTGTGAATTTGCTGGTGCCGTTCACTGTTGTGATCTCGATATCGAGAGTCACTGTTGGGGTCCAGTGTGAACACCGTATTACTTCGAACACGTGGTCTGACACTGGCCTGTGAGTAACTTTGTAGAAACCAGCAACTGGGTAGGGGCAGGAAACAACCGCAAAACATCCCACCGCAGCTGCTCATGCAGCCGGAGTAACCTGGGTATTTTAAGGTATGGCTCAGCTCGGAGACTGTTTCCTTAGGGATTGAATGAGTCGCATTTGTCGGTTGTGCATGAGCCAGCATTCACGCACCGCTTGGCGTGGTATACTCTTAGTTTGGATGGTCTCGTGAAGAATTCAGTGACTTTAGAGCATTTAACTCCACTGACTTTCTCACGAATTTCGCTAGTCCTACTGACTTGTTCGCGTGCCAGATCTCAATACAGAGCTCTGACTGGAGTCTGTTGAATAGGAGTTCTCTGCTGTACTCTAGATGGCAGTGATTGTTCTCATTGCATACGAGTTCAGCTGAGTGGCGCATGAATCCATGTTGGCATGCGCTGTTTAGGGAAGCTAGGCTCAGTATGACGCAAATGCTGAGAGTTGAGCGCGGGAGTTGGATAAGTTCGAAGCCACACGCATTTGGACTTGGTACAGTTTGCTCGCTCCGCTGTGGTGTTGGGGGGCCTATTGCTGAGTCTTTTTGACACCCTAACTATGGCCCATGCAACACTCATAACTGCTACTATTATCCAGATAGGTCAGGAATAGCCGTCGTTGCTATAGCTCCGACAGGGCCAGCAGTGCGGGTTTCCAAGTAAACCTTTGGATAAAAAGTATTGATGCTCACAGAATTCTGCTCTATCGCAGACCATGGTGTGCTCAAGTATTCCACTCTCTTCGAGTGTTCTGAGTCGCACCTTCGCATCTTTGTCGGTGGGGGATATGGGCAAAACGTACCTTGGTCGTTTGTGTGGTATTGATCGATGGTTTACAATCGTTTTCGATACACACTTCGAACCAGCCTCCTCGTTGGAGGTATGTATACGGTCCCATTGGCGCACGATATAGGGGGAGTGTTGACCGCAAGGGCAGGGGACATCACCATCATTAAGGTGATGAACGATAAGGAAGATGTCATCGGAGGTGATGACTTGGTATGCTGAACTGCGCAGTCCATGGTTCTGAAGAACTCATGAGCGCGAGTTTTAGAGGTGCGAGGAAGGGGTGTGCGCTGTGGTCTGGTTTCCGACCTTGGCCCTGTGGTGGATGGATCCTCTGGACTTCCATCCACAGGGGGAGCGCTAGTGCCACCCGTTCTTTCCGTGGTATCGTTATCTGGTACACTACGGATTTCCAACGGGTAAATCTTATTGAGTGGTCGATGAATGATTTTATGGTTGGGCATTAAAATTTTGGCTGACCTCACTAAGCCATCGGCTGACACGATAATGTCCGTGATTTTGCCGTAAGGCCAGGTACCCCGCGGCAGCAGGTCTTGCTCTATTATTACTATCTCGCCTATTTCTGGGCAAGATCTTTGCGAGTGCCTAGGTTGTTTTAAATGTTGTTTTTGCATCTCTCTCAGAGTCACTAGGTACTCACTCTTCCAGCAGTCCCAGAACTTGTTAGCTATCTTCTCAGAGAAAATGATTGCTTCTTCGGCTTGTTTCCGAGATTGGATAACTTCGGGATCGTATAGGGGGTCTTCTTCTTGCTCGACGTTACCACCTTCTGGAAGGGAGAATTTGACATTTCCTAGGAGGAAGTCTATTGGGCGGAGGGGAACTGCTGTGATGTCCTCCGGATTGATCTTAGTTAGAGGTCTTGTATTAGTATTGCCTCTATTCTGGTTATAGTGGTGCACATCTCGGTGAAGCTTAGCTTTCTACGCCCGACAGCTTTGTTGAGCGCTTTCTTTACGGATGCGACGAGTCCTTTCCCAAACACCGCCCATCCAGGGCGACGGGGGATTGAAAAGCCATTTTATCCTCTGGGATGCGCAGTAGGACATCAGGGATTGGCCCGTGAAATCATCATTTTGGAACATGGTTGCTATTATTTGTTCCCCTTGCTTGAAATTTGACCCGCAGTCTGTGCGCATCAACTTAGGGACGCCTCTTCGTTGATATGAAGCGTATGAAGCTGTTCAAAAATGCGCCTGTTGTCATGTTTTCCACGACTTCGAGGTGAACCGCTCTGGTGGTAAAGCAAGTGTACAGGGCTACGTAGAATCTTGTCTTGATTCTTCGAGGTGAATGGACCCATGAAGTCACATCCTGTGTTCTCGAACGGTTCTCTATCTCTGGGAAGAGCAGGCATCATGGGTGCGCCAAGCGGAAGGCCTTGGTATTTTTTGCATATAACGCAGTTCTTCAAGTATTTCTTGAAGGCGTTCGAAGCCCTAGGAATCCAAAACCTCTGGCGTGCTATCGTCAGGGTATGTTCCTTCCCGCAGTGTGCGTTTTCGCTATGGATTTGGCGAACGAGCAAGCGCACCAGCTCGGATTTGGGTGGAATGTATATGACTTAGTATCCCGGGGAAGGGCGGCGTTTTGCAGCCGGGATTGGTGCCTTATTATACCATTTAAGTCACAGATTACTTTCTTGTCTGGGAACCTTCTTTGCACCGCATTGAGATTTCCTTGACTTTATTCCTGAAAGAGGATAATATGTTCGGCCTATTTCGATGTCAAATGAGTTAATTTCGTCTTCTGTCGCAAACATGGACACCACTGTTAGTTCGATTTTCGAGTGTCGGTTCTTATTTGTTGAGCTCACCCAAGATTTAACTGTTTTCCCCACAAGGGCAACCACACGAAGCGCCCTTTGGAGTTTCGAAAAGCGTGACAGATCTATAAAATCGATTGTCTTTTCACCGGGCTCGGTCGTTGGCACCGTTTGGACCAGCGACTCGCTATGTTCTTCCACTAATGGGGGATCTACAATGGACTCGATCGATTTGATCGGCCATGTGTTGGGTGCGCCTTCAAGCCAGCGTGGTCCTCGAACCCAAGCATGGTCGCTGATGTTCTGCGACGTTAACCCTCTCGTACCAGCATCTGCTGGGTTGTATGAGGTCTCCACATGGAAGAACGAAAGTGGAATGTTTCTTGCTGCTGTAGCGCTTTTGACATTTTCGATGCGCTCTTTTAGATTGGCCACGAAAATGGGTAATTTCTTAGTGGACTTGAGCCACCACAGTGCAATTTCACTGTCAGTGACGACTGATATGCTTTCTATTGATTCTGGCAAGTTCGAAGCAATGGATTTACTAAGACGTGCTGCCATTAATAGCGCGAGGAGCTCTAAGCGCGGAATTGTTTGACGACATTTTTTGGGAGTTAGTCGCGTTTTCCCGCTTATTAAGCCTGAAATGTTCTTTCGTTTCAGTGTTTTGCCCGTAGGCGCATGTTGCCAGGGCCATCTTGCTAGCGTCTGCAAAGACCCATAGGCGCATTTTGGCCTCGGGCGAGCTAACAAGGGAGGTCGTTCAGGCCGTGGTGAGCTTTTTCAAAACGGTTTGTTGCATGTTGTAGGGGTCCATGCGAGGACCACAGCGATGGGGCTTCGTATTATTATACA